CAGTACTCCATATGTGGCCTGACCAGCGTCGCATAGAGGGGGAGGATCACCTCCTTGGCTCTACTTGAGATGCACCTGTGGATGCATGACAACGTCCAGTTAGCCTTGCCAACCGTGACCTCGCATTGTCGGCCCACGTTCATCTTGGAGTCAATAATGGCTCCAAGATCCCTTTCTGCTTCCGTGCTCTCAAGAAGGGAGTTTCCCATTCTATAAGTGTGCTGCTGGTTTCTACTGCTCAAGTGCAGCACCCTGCACTTGTCAGTATTGAAACACATCCTGTTTATGTTAGCCCACCCCTGTAACCTATCCAGATCTTGCTGCAATCTTTCCCTCCCTATTAGCGTGCTCACCTCACCCCAAATTGAAATTGAAATTGCTGTTAGTTTGTAAGAAAAACCTTGTACAAATTATGGTCTTAGACTGAATGCTACTCTGAAGAAACAGATTTTTTCCCTGCTTCTGCCACAGAGCTCACATATTATGGCAGGCAGAATATTAAATCAGCCTTTCATAGAGGTTTGCTAATTATGTGTTCATTACCCTTTGGTAACCTGACTCAAGACTCCAAGGCTGGATTTGCAAATGTACTGGGTGCTTTCAGCTGCAGCAGAAGTCAATGTTCTCTGAAGATATAAAATGCTCACTGATCTGAAAAGAATACAAGGCCACAGATGTCTTAAAATGGGTACCCAAAATTAATGATTACTTTTGACCTTACTGTCTCAGAAACTCAGCTAACCATCTGTTAATGCAGAGAATCACACCCCTTCATCATCCAGGGATGTTGTGAAAATAGTTCATTACAGTCTGTCAAGTGATCAAATACTATTGTGATAAGCTTCACCAAAGACTCCATGAGGAAATTAATCGTTCCATCTTAGGAGGTTTTGAATATCATGCAATAAACAAGGCCTAGAACTATAAATTTAACAATAAGAAAACAAATGATCAAATAGCTTCTTATTAACAGAACCAACCATTTTGCAGAAAAATAGTATGTAATCATGTCACATATCTGTATTGTTATGCATACTCCCAGGAGAATCAAATTAAGACTGCAGGGACAGCTTTAATGCTGGCACTTCCTAACCTGAGTGCCTGACTCTGTAATCCTAAGGTTCTTTTAATGCAGAGGTTTTCTTTGTGTAATAGATAGAGTTTATCAAGCTATTCTATCCAATAATTCAGGAGTGGGCAAAATAAGTCACCAAGGGATTTTCTCCAGCCTACAGTGGGCCCCTTGGTCCTACCTGGCCCAGGCATGAGGGCAGGCCAGGCCATGGCATGTTCAGCTGCTCCCACCACCCCTGGGCACACAGCAAGGCTGTGGCAGCATGGTGGTTAGACTCGCTTCCCAGCAGCAGTGGCTCTTTCTGGCTGCAACTGCTACTGGACCGAGCCCTGCTCCCCAGTAACCTGGGTCCATCTGCCCCACACCCAGCACCAGGGGTGGGACCCAGGCAGGCAGGGCACACAGCCAGGTGGATGGGATGGGGCTCTGGGCAAGTAAGGAGCAGTGTTCAGGAACAGGACAGGTGAGCAGGATCATGGGGCACTGACTGCACAGGGCCTAGGGCAGAGCTGTGATCTGCTCCTCACAGGACCCTGCAACAGGTACAGTTACTGTGGGCAGGGGTATGCAGTGGATCACAGCTTTGCCCCAGGCCCAGCCCCACACCTCTGCCCCAAGATATCAGACTAGGACCCAACCCCCCACATCTGCAACCCTATCCTATTCCCCCAGCCGTGAGCCCCACCTGCTTGGGTCCAGGTCTGTCTCCATGGAGACCCCAGGGTCACTGGGCAGTGACAGCACAGGGCCAGGGCCAGAGGAAGATTTGTGATCCGCTCCGTACACATCCCTGCCCACAGAGCTAGCGCCCATCACAGGGGCACGCAGGCAGCAGATCATGGCTCAGCCCTGGCCCAGTACTGTTACTGCCCCATGACCCCAGCCCCACCCATCTGGCTCGCCCTGGGCCACATAGGGAGTTTTGGTAAGCTGTTAGGCAGGGTTCGGGAGACAGGGTGCTAACCTGCCCCACGACAGGTCACCAAAGCTCCCTATGTGGCCCTCGGGCCCAAATATTTGCCACCCCTGCAATAACTGAATACAGGCATAGCATATATGATACTTTACTGAAATTTTTCTGGAACACGAAGTAGAACATTCTCTTCCATTAAAACAATAGTTAGCATTCCAAAACTAATCTGTTCTTTTTCCAGAAGAAACTTTACTTCTATTCTTTCAAAAAGTTACTAAGCCTCTTTGTCCTACTTTCCTTCTGGGTTATTTTAGTCGTAACCTCATTAAGTTTTTATTATTTTGAAATCTTTCTTCATAGCTTGAATAATAGAAGGTACAAACTCTAACAAGGCTGTGAGAAAGTGTTTCAGAATAAAAAATGACTAGTTTATTATTTGAAGAGCTTCTAGTTCAGTAACATCCGAAGACAGGACTGTTCTGCCATAGATGATCATCTCCTTAAAAATTCTGCTAACCTTTCTACTGATGGAGATTTGGTAAGAAAATACTTTCAGGAGCCACATCCCCATCTGTTTCTTCTCTACTACAGTCTGTGAAAAAGTATGCTTTTTAAGGCCAAAATAAAATTTATATAATGTTCAAGTCAATAAAAGGAAAAAATGGTTACAGAAAATATCGGGAGATCATGAATATGCTAAATACATATAAAGACTCTTAATACACAAGTGCAAATATATGCACACATATACAGATGCAGGTGCAAACATATGCACACATATACAACAACTACAGCAGTATTTTCCATGTATCAATAGTATTAAAACCAGTGTTCAGAACAGTAAATTCTTTTAAAATCCTTCTACGTACAGAATGGAATTAACATTAGAGATTAACATTAACATTTTAATCACAGGTCTTCAGTTATCCCACCTGTTTTGTTGACTTTTTAGTTCCATCAAAGATCTTCCAAGCAAGCCCATTCCCTCCACTGGCAATATGTCGGCCAACATCAAATTCCCTGGTAACAGGATTTCCCATAACTGCACTGGTGACATCAGCTGTTACCTTTGTAACAGTACTCTTCAATTTATTAAGCATGGACTCCATGTTTCCAACTTTACACTTTGCCTAAAAACAGAAGAGAAAAACTTTACAGAAAACTGAGAGAACTGTTAACCTAAAAAAGTACTAAAATTTGAAAATTTTTTTTAATGCAGATTATTAAAATCCAGAACATACCAGTTATGAGTAGAGGTGCATGGATATCTTGGTGCTATATCAGATCAGCACCAATTAAGGGAAAATTAACATTATTTGCTATCAGCTTTTTTTGGATTGAGTAGCCGATAACATACCAATAAATATGCCTTCTGCCCAGGGCCCCTAGACGCCGCATACATGCGCACAGCCACAGCATGTATGTGGCCAGGAGCACAGTCATGCAGTGTGGAAAGCAGCACCCTGCAGGTAAGTCTGTAGAGGGGAAGGGCATGGGGGGAGGGGGACAAATTGAGGCCCCCATGGTGAGGGAGGGAGCGAGGCAGGGGCTGGGGGCACTGCCCAGCCAAGGCAGTGAATGGGACCCTGGGACCAGGGCAGGGAGCAGGACAGGTGAGACATGGGAAGGCATATGCCCCCCCTCCCCCTGATTTCTGTGCAGGGAGAATGCGGGCTGCCTACTGTGGGCTTGGGGCTCTCTGCCCTGATGCCTTTTTTCCCCCCCAAAAGCCCTGCACCAGCTGCATAGCCACTTTCTGCCCAATGGCGGTGGGGACAGCAAGTTGTGCCTCCCACCACCAGACTGGCAGGGGAAGAGGCACAGCCAGTACACAGCTCCCAGGACAAAGGTAGCAGGGCAGAAAGCCCGCATCTGCCCTCACCCCATTTGGCTCTGCTCCTAAAAGCATTCCTCTACTTAAAAATGGTGGCAGCAGTGCTTCAACTAAAGCTCATTGAACAAGCTTTAGTTCAAGGACCTCCCCTGCCATTTTGAAGACCTGGGACACTGATTCCCCTGGATGAACCACCCGCAGGCCTCTCCTGCTCCTTGCCCCAGCCCCAGGGTCCCATTTACCACCCTAGCTGGACAGCGCCCCCAGCTCCAGTCCCTGCCCCTCTCCCTTGCTCACCATGGGGGCCTCGATCTGCCCTCCCCATGCCCCTGCCCCTCCACAGACTTACTGGCAGGGTGCTGCTCTCCAGGCTGCCCAGCTGTGCTCCTGTAAATTGGTTATCAGGTTGGTAACAGCCGATATGCCTGGTGAATAATTGGCTATCGGTATCAGACAAGAAAATCTCTACTGGTGCACCCCTCATTATGAGACATGTATTTAGGTAACTTTATATAATATAGACCATAAATCTGGAAGAGAAAACCTACTTAAGAATGCCTAATCGCTAACAGAACAAATTTCTACTTATACCGACAATGGTTTTAAAACTAGTTTTTCCTTCATAGCACCTGCCAAGACCCAAATTCAGTAGTCAGCCTCTCCCTGCAAGAACTGTTGGTGTTACTAACACTCTTTGTTCTGATATAAGTGCTAACAAATCCATCCGTTGCCACAGGGGATGTGAAAGAGGGACTTTTTTTTTATATGACTAAAGGGGTATCAACATATGGGGAATTCTTCTACATAGCCAGAACAGAAGATTTTGATCTAGAATTCAGTCCATTTTTAGCTGTACAATAATTTCATTAGGTGCCTTTTTTTTTTTTTTTTAATTACAAATAACTAGGGACATAACAAATTTGCAGCAGAAGTGGGGTGTGCAGTGGCTCCTTGCCAGTTCCCTTGCCACTTATTGGTAGAGAGGCCCTGCTGCTCACCATTTCCCACTTGCTCCTGATCGGCAAGGAGGTGAAAAACCACAGTTTTAAATGTGGTGCCATTTTTGCCTCCCTTCCACTGACTGGCCAAGGGGCCCCAGCAGCCCCGCTGCTTGCTGCTGACAGGTATGGAGACAAAAACAGTGCCAGATATAAACCACAGTTTTTGCTTCCTTGCTGATCAGGAGCAAGCAGGGAGTGGTGGGGCCAATCAGTGGTGGAGGCAGCATGCAGGGGAACCTGCAAGATTAAAGGAGCTGCCACACACCCCACTTCTGTTGCAAATTAAGTAGGTCCCTACAAATAGCTGTTACTGTTGCCCTGTGGGGCCAGGCCAACCCTCAGGATCTCAATATTGTGCTGTTAGACAGGAGGGCATGATGTACAGTTGCACATGCACACACTCAAAAATCAACTAGATGCATACACACATACTACCAACTCAGGTACATACACATCCAAACTAGCCTAGGCACATGCATACCTATCACCAAGTCAAGCACATATACTATACACCCCAAAAGTTAGACAAAAATCAGTTGTCCATACCCGCACACTCAGTACACATACACAGATCACTAATTCATATATCATACACACAACGACGTTATATATACACACACACACACACACATATACACACTCACCAGTTCACCCACATACAACCCACCTACACATAGGTAAGTTCCTAACTTGGATGGCACGGTATATATGTGTGTGCTTGGGGTACTTGGGATACTTGGGGGAAGGTTAACGTGAGAGAGAGAGAGTTAAAGTATAGGGAGTGAAAGTTGCCAGAACAGAGATTAGAACCGGTGGACTAGAGAGAAGCTGGCTGAGGAACTGAGGCTTGGTGTTACTTGAAGTAGATTGGGGCTGGAAACTGAAGCAGACAGCTGAGAGATGGGGGGGAGGGAGGGCAGATAAGTGGTGGCAAGGAGGAGACAACCAGGACAGAGAGAGAGGGGCAGAAACCTGGTGGTTGGGGCTGGAAACAGGCTGACAGCTTAGAGAGGGGGGCAGATAAGTCGTGGCATGGAGGAAACAGTCAGGAAACAGAAAAACCCAACTCGGGGTTTCAAAATAACAGGTTTAATAAACAAACACCACACTACACAGCCCCATGAAGTTATTGGTTCCCACACACACAAGCACTCACAATAGCAGCAGGAAAAAGACTCGGTGGAAGTGTTAGAGTCCAGGTAGGGAAGAGAAGCAGAGTCCAAGTCCTTGGCTGAAGACGGGGTAGGGAGTGACAGCTGGCTATCCAGGCCAGAAAGGGGTCCTTGTCCACTAGGTGTTGTCCAGAGGGGGGTTGCCGGCAGGGCCTCTGGGTGGATATGTGGTGTGGCATGGTGCTGGTCCAGATGGAGAGGGTGTCCCAAAGAGTCGGTCTTCACTACCCCTTTTATGGGTCAGACTACCCATGATCACCTACGGGGAGGGCCTGTGTCCAGGCAATGTCAGTCGTGTCCCAGAGGGCTCCAGGTGTTCTTCCTGAGCATGTGCAGCCTTGGCACAATGGTGGGTTGCCTCATCTTTTGTTTCTTGAATGCTGACGGTGGTTCCAATGGCTGGGTCATTGGTCCAGGTATTGGTGTTGATGGTTTGGTCATTCAGAGGGAGCTATTTTTAGACCTACTGCCATTCTCTCTCAAGCACCCTCATTCATCCCCATTCATTCAGTAATGAAGTTATATAGGAGGTGTAGGTGTGAGTCATGGGTTACACAACCGTGCCTGGGGACAGGAAGAGGCTTGACAAACAAAATGGAAACTTGACATGACTTATGCTAACTTACATATATGGGCCTAAATCATATAGTACCAGTAAAACAGTAATATAGAACAGTAAAAAAAATCAATATAAACATAATAATTTACGATATAAAGAAGGAGAAAAAACAAAACAAATACAACTTGCTACCAAAATAAAATGCTGAAGCTTATCCTATGTCTTAGCTCACTTATACTTATCTATAGGGAATAAAGAGGGAGAGAAAGTCAGAAATGGTTGGGGAAGGGGAGGGAATGCATTTTAAAATAAATTGAAAAAAACAAGGGCTTTTGCTACATTACCAGTGACACCAAGGAAGCACCACATAGCAGAAACCATTAGTTTAATAAATACTAATACTAGAGTTACAGACATAATCTTCCTTGTCCATGTTAATTAACAAGGTGGAGATGAAACAAGAGGAGGGATGATTTGTTTCTAAAAACAGTTAGTATACATGGCACATCCAAGACTCACTCTCTTTCGCGTGGTATCTGATACTAATTTCCAAATCTATAAACCACTGTCTGGTATTATTGCTCAAGTGTGGATTCTATCTACCCCACCTGCACATTTATAGAGACTGCACCTTTTAATTAGTGTTGTGCTGTTTGTTGGACACCTCGTACACGCAGGGGGGCTGTCCAAGATGCTCATCTTGTGAAGTGCTGTTTTGAAGTGGCCATATCCAGATCTCAGTCTGGTCAGCTTAACCCATACTTTTCTGTCAAGGTCATGCCTAATGGGACTCTCCTTTGAGGTTGGTATAAAACAATGTAGGAATAGGTCTGACTTTTCCCAGCGGTAGGCCCACTCCATTGCTGTCCAAAGGTTTCGTTCAGCATCCCTAATCTCTTCAAGGAGCTTGTGGGCTTCATATACAAACAGTTTACAACTTATAAGCCGCTTATGTCTCCATCTGTTCGGGTCTTCAGTTAACAGTTGATGAAGCAGGTGATTTTTGTTGTCTCTTGCCTCTACTGCCAGTAATAAGGTTAGGGTCTCTATTTTCTTATATCACTAGGTCTAAAGCGCAAGAGTATAGCGAGTACATGTGTGTGTAAAGAGTACAGCCTGTTGAGTCTCAGTGCACTATTAAGTACAGGGTCAAGCTTTTTAGTGTGACAACTTCTGGACCAAACAGAACAGTCATTTCCTTTGTATTGTGAGGTGATTCTGAGCACTTCAAAGTTGGCAACTCATGTCACGCTGCCCTAACATTTTAAGGCAGCTACCTGTGCAGAGACTTTACTGCTGACTTTCTGAATGTGATGTTTATAAGGTGAGCGACTGGTCTAATGCAACTCCTAGGTACATTAGGGTATGCTCATGGGGATGGATGTGGTTGCCAACTCTGATATTCAGTGTGCTCTTGGCCTGACAACTGTCAAGGTGAAAGAATGATGATACTAGATTTACTGATGCTCATCTTTTAAGCACCACTTGTGGAAATAGTCAGCGATGAGTTCCATGTCAGCACTCAGTGTCTTTTCCAGTTCTGTTATATCTATTCCTCATGCTA